AGGAAGCGAAAGGGCTTGATGTGATTTAACTGCAGACGCATAAAAGCCTGCACGGAAATTGCTTGACAGGAGACCTGTATTCTCCTCCATTAATAAAGTTGGAATATGCTTTGGCAGGGGGCAGCTATGCCACCTCGAACAGTGGTGAATTCACTGATGTATGTAAGCAAGAGAGCATCTCAAAGCTGTGAACGGGAAAGGGGTGCCCGTGCTCCACAGAAGTAAGCACACGCTTTACAAAACCCGGAGCAGGAAAAAGTTGAGAAAATCAAGAAAATTATGTAAGTAAGCTAGAGAGCAAGCCCATTCCGTGGGTCTGAAACAAAGAATGGCAAAAAAATACCTTGCGTTTGAATAATTAGCACCGCAGGCTTTTGAAATGGGCATGATTGAGGAATGCAGAGACGGAGGAAACTCCCTTTACGTGTAAACACTTTCTAGTGGACGTTTCAAGGGAGTTGAAGACGCGAAATCACGCAAGGAGAGAAGAACAGGCGGAGTTGTAAAGTTACAGCCGAAGCGGGGCAAAGCAGGAGGTGCGAGGCCAGCGGGCACGGCTCCCCGCTCCGCTGCCGGGCTCCAGCCCGCAGCGCTCCAGCTCCGCCCCGGTCCCCAGCGCGCCCCGCTCCCGCCCTGCGGCTAGTTACTACCTTACATATATAAAAAGTTCTTTAAATTGCTGTTAAAAAGGACATGTTCTGTCCAGATTTTGTGTAATACTTTTTAGTGTCTACACAAGACAAATTTTTAAAAAAATTAAATAGTATTAATTTACTACTAAATATTTAGGAGATAACAGTGCATTAAGGACTTTTTTTCATATAGTAATACACATCGCTCCTGTCTGGCGACATTTTTAGAAGATTACGTATGGCCTTATGTACAATACATTTATTTAATCCTAAAACAATTCTTTGCTTAATGGTGTTAAAGTACCATTCCTGAAGATTATGAAGGGGAACTAAGCTTATTATGTTTATATAAAATATTATACATATTTGAACACTTCTAGCTTCCCGCCACACCTCCCGCTACGAATGCTCTTCCCTCCCCCTCCCCAGATACAGTGTCACAGATACAGTGCAGGACTCACAGCTTTCCCTATATTTTTCCTTCATTGTGCAGTCTGTGCTACATAAACCTCGCAAATGCGGACCAGGCTGCTCATCCTATTCATTCCCCACGCGTTTGTTTCCTCTGAGCCACAGTGGGAACAGCTGTACTCAGCAGTCCGCTCTCCCACCAGGCGACCAGGATGGAGAAGACAGCTCTGCCGGTGTCACCTGCCCCTC